GCATCAACCGTTTGCTACTGGCCAGACGGTTACCCTACGTTACCGATTTGATATTCGTGTTTATCTAATAGCAAGAGCAGAGTCGTATTTACAAACCTCCTCGCGATTCTGTGATCCTGATAGCAGCTCGTCGTCCACCAATCTTACGAGAAAGGTTCGGTAGACAGTGCGATTTTAGGATGCGTATAGATCTGTCTCAGGATCGCAGAAACGGCAAGAGGTATCGTTGCCATGGATTTGATATTCGTGCTTATCTAATAGCAAGAGCAGGGTCGTATTTGCAAACCTCCTCGCATTCCTGTGATCCTGACAGCAGCTCGTCGTCCACCAATTTTAGGAGAAGAGTCTGGTAGACAGTGCGATCTTCGGAAGCCTACAGATCTGTATCAGGATCGCAGAAACGGCAAGAGGTATCGATGCCATGGATTTGATATTCGTGCTTATCTAATAGCAAGAGCATAGTCGTATTTGCAAACCTCCTCGCGTTTCTGTGATCTTGATACAGATCTGTAGGCTTCCGAAGATCGCACTGTCTACCAGACTTTTCTCCTAAAATTGGTGGACGACGAGCTGCTGTCAGGATCACAAAAACGCGAGGAGGTTTGCAAATACGACCCTGCTCTTGCTATTAGATAAGCACGAATATCAAATCCATGGCAACGATACCTCTTGCCGTTTCTGCGATCCTGATACAGATCTATACGCATCCGAAAATCGCACTGTCTACCGAACCTTCCTCGTAAAATTGGTGGACGACGAGCTGCTATCAGGATCACAAAAACGCGAGGAGGTTTGTAAATACGACTCTGCTCTTGCTATTAGATAAACACGAATATCAAATCCATGGCATCGATACCTCTTGCCGTTTCTGCGATCCTGATACAGATCTGTAGGCTTCCGAAGATCGCACTGTCTACCAGACTTTTCTCCTGAAATTGGAGGACGACGAGCTGCAATCAGGATCCCAGAAACACGAGGAGGTTTGCCGATACCACCCTGCTCCTACTATGAGATAAGCACGAAATTCGAATCTATGGCATCGATACCTCTTGCCGTTCCTGCGATCCTGATGCAGATCTATAAGCATCCGAAAATCACACTGTCTACCAGCCTTTTGTCGTAAAGTTAGTGGACGACGAGTTGTTATCAGGATCACAGAAACGCGAGGAGGTATGAGAATGGCACTCTGCTCCTGTTATGAGATAAGCACAAAATTCAAATCTATGGCATCGATACCACTTGCCGTTTCTGCAATCCTGATACAGATCTGTAGGCTACTGAAGATCGCACTGTCTACCAGACTTTTCTCCTAAAATTGGTGGACGACGAGCTGCTATCAGGATCACAGGAATGCGAGGATGTTTGCAAATACGACTCTGCTCTTGATATAAGATGTTAAGCTCACCCACCGTACTTCTCGCGCCATCTAGTGAGCGGCGCTTCAACGCATCAACCGTTTGCTACTGGCCAGACGGTTACCCTACGTTACCGATTTGATATTCGTGTTTATCTAATAGCAAGAGCAGAGTCGTATTTACAAACCTCCTCGCGATTCTGTGATCCTGATAGCAGCTCGTCGTCCACCAATCTTACGAGAAAGGTTCGGTAGACAGTGCGATTTAGGATGCGTATAGATCTGTCTCAGGATCGCAGAAACGGCAAGAGGTATCGTTGCCATGGATTTGATATTCGTGCTTATCTAATAGCAAGAGCATAGTCGTATTTGCAAACCTCCTCGCGTTTCTGTGATCTTGATACAGATCTGTAGGCTTCCGAAGATCGCACTGTCTACCAGACTTTTCTCCTAAAATTGGTGGACGACGAGCTGCTGTCAGGATCACAGGAATGCGAGGAGGTTTTGCAAATACGACCCTGCTCTTGCTATTAGATAAGCACGAATATCAAATCCATGGCAACGATACCTCTTGCCGTTTCTGCGATCTGATACAGATCTATACGCATCCGAAATCGCACTGTCTACCGAACCTTTCTCGTAAAATTGGTGGACCACGAGCTGCTATCAGGATCACAGAATCGCGAGGAGGTTTGTAAATACGACTCTGCTCTTGCTATTAGATAAACACGAATATGAAATCCATGGCATCGATACCTCTTGCCGTTTCTGCGATCCTGATACAGATCTATACGCATCCGAAAATCGCACTGTCTACCGAACCTTCCTCGTAAAATTGGTGGACGACGAGCTGCTATCAGGATCACAAAAACGCGAGGAGGTTTGTAAATACGACTCTGCTCTTGCTATTAGATAAACACGAATATCAAATCCATGGCATCGATACCTCTTGCCGTTTCTGCGATCCTGATACAGATCTGTAGGCTTCCGAAGATCGCACTGTCTACCAGACTTTTCTCCTGAAATTGGAGGATGACGAGCTGCTATCAGGATCACAGGAATGCGAGGAGGTTTGCAAATACGACTCTGCTCTTGCTATTAGATAAGCACGAATATCAAATCCATGGCATCGATACCTCTTGCCGTTTCTGCGATCCTGATACAGATCTGTAGGCTTCCGAAGATCGCACAATCTACCAGACTATTCTCGTAAAATTGGTGGACGACGAGCTGCAATCAGGATCACAGAAACGCGAGGAGGGATGAGGATGGTAATCTACCATGCTATGATGTTGACGCGAAATTTTGATCTTTGGCGTAGGTACTCCTAGTCATTTCTGCAATCCTAATACAAATCTATATGATTCATTGGAAAATTGTTATCAAGTTTACAGAAAGGCGATGAGGTATGCAAGTGCCAGTCTGCTCCTGCTATGAGATATGCACGAAATTCAAATCCATGGCATCGATACCTCTTGCCGTTCATGCGATCCTGATACAGATCTATAAGCATCCGAAAATCACACTGTCTACCAGCCTTTTGTCGTAAAGTTAGTGGACGACGAGTTGTTATCAGGATCACAGAAACGCGAGGAGGTATGAGAATGGCACTCTGCTCCTGCTATGAGATAGGCACAAAATTCAAATCTATGGCATCGATACCACTTGCCGTTTCTGCGATCCTGATAAAGATCTGTAGGCTTCCGAAGATCGCACTGTCTACCAGACTTTTCTCCTAAAATTGTAGGATGACGAGCTGCTATCAGCATCACAGAAACGCGAGGTGGTTTGCAAATACGACTCTGCTCTTGCTATTAGATAAGCACGAATATCAAATCCAAGGCATCGATACCTCTTGCCGTTTCTGCGATCCTGATACAGATCTGTAGGCTTCCGAAGATCGCACTGTCTATCAGACTTTTCTCGTAAAATTGGTGGACGACGAGCTGCTATCAGGATCACAGAAACGCGAGGAGGATTGCAAATACGACTCTGCTCTTGCTATTAGATAAGGACG